AATAATCTGTTTATTGCGTTCGCATCCCTATTAGGATTTTGACTAAAATGCAATACAGATGTGAATAAAGACAAACAAACAAATCAAGTGAGAATAAAAATTCACACAGGAAAAAAAATAAGTAAAAAACAACTAGCAAATAAAAGTAGAATTAAATTAAAGTAAATTAGATTGTTTTCCACATTTGTGTTGGTTTTTCCTCTCTTGTTTTGAAACCGTTCTCTATGTATTTTGCTATTTGTAGTATTATTTTCTCATCTTTATTATTTAAAATATATTTTAATTTTTCTTTATTGTTTGCTAAGGGTTGGGGTGATAACAGCTGATAACGTTTTTTTCTTTCTTCCGCGTGGAGATCACATGTTAAAAGAAAATGTTCTTCGTCCTCTATGGCGTTATTTTCACAACATAGACATTTTCTGTCAGATATATCTGTGTTGTTATATCTCCCAGTCTCTATTTGTAGTATGTGGGCACTAATCCTCAATTTTGTCATTGATGACCTATGATGAGTATTTTTGACTACGTGTAAGTAGTTTTCAAAGCCAAAGTCTGTTCAATTCTCTGTTAGTGCGCAATTTATTTTTGTCATTTTTCCCTTTGTTATCATTGTCTAAAATCTGTTAAAAATTGTTTTCAAACTTTGTTTTTAGTTTTTCTGATATTATTTTATCTATATTTACATTGTTCGCATTTTGTTTTTGTTTTTCCTGCCACAAATGGTCTATATCTAAATCTTTAAGTATAAGTTTTAACCCGGAAAATCCAGTTGTAGGTGCCAGAGTTGTCTAGTTCTAAGCCGAGACTGTATGCTTCATATACTAGAGAATTTTCAGGCATTTTTTTTTATTCGAGACCAGTATTTGATCATCTGTTTTATCCCTGTTGTAATTAATGGATACCTTCCGAATTCTATAGACATGCCACATTGGTCGCTTTGCTGTTAACTTTGAGTAGGTATTTGCAGTATTTCATGTGCAATTGTTCCATTGGTGACATGATATTCATATAAATCTTTTGGTGTTTAATTATACTATCTGACCAGATTTCTGCACAGTATAAAAGTATTGGTTTTATCATGGTATCAAACATTTTAAGATATGTTTTTATTGCTATATATATATATATCTGAGAATAATAACTGTTTCATTTTGAAGCATGCTTTCATAGCTCTATTTTTAATATCTTCTTGAGCCAAGTCAAATTTACCATTTGTTTTCAATTTAATTCCAAGATAAGTGTATGTTGACACTCTTTCTAGTTCTACACCATCTATGTGAAATTTTTGGTTTTTAATGTGTTTGCCACTTTTGTTGAATATCATGGTTTTTGATTTATTAATATTAATGCTTAATTTCCATTTTTTGCAGTAAATTTGAAGACCGTTTAGTGCATTCTGCAAACCTGAGCTGCTTTCTGATAGTAGAATTT